ATTTTACAAAAGAAGTGTGAAAACTGTACCGTGTTCCTAGCGGATACGGAACCTTCAACGTATGGTAACCCAATCCGATTCGAGAGAGTAGTAATAAACCATAACTGAAATTGATCAGGTACCCTGGTGATCCATACGATCGAATCTGGACCCCATGGGTGAACATGAAAATCTGGACCGTGATATCAACAAAGAAGACGGTGCAAAGCATAGACAATGACGTCTTCGAGGCGCGATCAGGCCGCGGGACATCACCAAGAACATAGAGTTTTCTTGGGGCCCGGAGCCCCAGCCCAACGACCCGTCACCAGGGTACATTGCCATCTTGCACTTCTCTGAGCTGCAGATTCTCCCCATTAACGCCGTGCGGCAGTTCTACGTCAACCTTAACGGCGAGTTGTGGTATCCGAGTGGCTTCACGCCCACCTACCTTTACATCGGTGCCACCTACAACAACCTCCCCTCTAGGCATAACAGTTATAACATCTCCATCAGCGCCACTGGCAACTCGACGCTGCCGCCGATCATCAACGGTGTGGAGATTTTCTCCGTCATCTCCACCACCAACCTTAGCACGTACTCACAGGACGGTACGTCTGCTTGCACATTTAATAGGGGTGCCCCTACTAAAAAGATGTTTTCCTTACAATGTTCACAGAAAATGTATATCGCATGTCACAAAATTACAGATCTAATTTGATGGCCACATCAAGGAATAATAAGCACAAATTCACAGCGGGTAGTACCAAACCTAAAATAACATTGGTCTAGTGCTATTTAATGTGTACTGTTCATGAGGGCCAAATTTTGTGCTCTAAAATTCTTAATGTGTACCAGTGTACTAAATAGTTAAATAGCACCCGATGAAGCTTATGGGAAAAATTAGACAGGGTTGCTAATTTTTTTGGGAACCATGCATATAAAGTTCCAAACCAAATTTTTTGTGACACAAAACGATAACTAATCATGATGCAGTATTAAAAAATCTAATATTTTTGCAAAAATGGACTCTGCTACCTTTTATATTAGGATTTCTCTATTCATTTGACCACCATGTGTGGATCAGATTTGGCTTTTAAAGTTTGAATCATGGTAGATACATGTTGTCTTAATCAGAAATACAGAAAAGAGCCATCTCAAACTGATTGAAATTGACATAGCAAACGGGTTTTCATGGCGTTTGGCATTGGCTGCCACATAAGAGAGGCGGCCTCAAGAATGCTCAGGAGGAGCTTCCGTCAGTCGGAGCAGTCAACACCATATATATGGAGTTGTTGTCGGATGGAGCTCTTGCCACCATGCCATCTCGGCCAACCACTGTGTCGGTTGACTGGTGTCGCCCAACACACATGCTCTGTGGGACTCATGACCATGGTGAAAGAAGTGGTACAACAAGGGCAATGCAAGAGGGAGACAACACGTGGCAGGTTAGGAAGTAGCATGACGGGATGGGTTTGTATGTGTCTAGGGATCAAGAATGTGGGGAAGAGTGGTTTCACAAATCTAGATCTAGGGTTGGGGTGCGGGAGAAGGGTGTGTCTGAGCGAAATTCTAGTGATCTACCAAGCCTTTTGGTACTACCACACACCGTCGCGCGGTAGCACACCAAGAAATTATAGAGTAAGTCCATCCTTTTTGCCTCTCCATGACACTATTGATAACAACTTGAATTTCAAATTCCATACAATGGTAAATACATGTTAGATCAATAAGAGCATTTCAGTCCCAAATAAGTTGGGGTGAGCTAGAGTTGAAACACATAAGATCTCAAAACATAGGCATGGTTCTGACACGTGGATAGTTAACTTTCACGCTCCCCTGTACATGGCTAGTTTTTTTTGGTGATGTTTCAGTCCTTTAGGTCTCTCTTTAGGGACTCCTCCCATGTCAAGTTTGACCTCTCGTATGAACATGAAACCCCCAAAAAATATTAGCTCAGTGCTACTAAAAAATCATATATTTGTTTGCTGATTTGTAAATAGTGCTACATATGTCACTAGAATTTCTCTCGTGTTCTTAGTTTCCAGACAGAGAGCATGGGAGAGAGAAAGAGAGAGGGAGGGAGAGAGAGAGAGAGAGAGAGAGAGAGAGAGCTAGTAATCGTGTCTTTAATGCACTAGTGAGTGTTGCACATATTTATGGATCAATTTTATGACTCTAAGAGATGTAATCGTGTCTTTAATGCACTAGTGCCTAGTTAAAAATGATCAACGAACATGGATACTTATAAACCTACTTCTTAAGACTTCGCAAAAATCATGCTACTATGTTTTTAAAAATATACAAAAAAATCACGTAAGTAGGAATTGGGTATACTACCTACCAACATGTGTAAAAATCTGAAAATGGAAAAGCTACAACACAAATTTTATTGTAGCTTTCTCATTTTCTAATCTTCACACACTTTGCAAATAGTTACAACTTTTCTGAAAATTCACATTGATAAGTGTGTACCCAATACCTACCTATGTGTGTGTGTGTGTGCACGCGCGCGCGTGTGTGATATTTAAATATTTTTAAAAACTTAGAAATTTAATCTTTGCCGAGGAAAAAAGGGTTCTAACTATGTATGTAGATTTCGTGACACAATATAATCCCAAATAATATCGAAACCATCCACGCTCTGGAGTACATGCTCCCTTTAAAAAATGATTTTGCACCCTTCAAAAACATCCAGAAAATACTCATATACTAATGGTATATTCATTTTCAAATTTAATGTTCGGTGAAAATAATAATTTATTTGAGGCAATGCAAATAAAAAATTCAAGGACTTTTCAAAATATTATTTGCTATTTTAGTTCCCCATTTTTGTTTTTCTACCCATACCACAAATGAACGAAATTTTGGTGAACGGAAGGGTTCATCAAGCCATTTCTCGCCTTACCACAAAAAATATAGGCACATACTTACTCTAATATCTACACACCATATGTTTTTTAGAACTTTCTACAATAAAGGGAGCATGCGCTCTCCACAGCAAAAATCTACACCCCATATATGACAACACTACAAAACATACATGAGCTGTGGTTGATGCTTAGCCAAATCATGTGTGGTACTAAAAACTTGCATGAATCAACAATATTCGCTATCATGGCGATAAAGGTGAAGTATCAGGTGCAAAAGAACTGGATGGGTGACCCATGCGTTCCAAAGACTATGGCTTGGGAAAGGTTGGCATGCAATTATGAGATCACAACCCCTCATAGGATCAAAGCCGTGTAAGTATTTTAGATTTGAGCATCTACCTAAATTCACTTCAACATGAAAGCACAAAATGAAAGATCATGTAAAAATTCGATAATGACTCTCATCCGGCGGAGGTTCGTTATCTGCAGAGATTTGTCCTTCAACGGTCTAAGTGGTGATATATCATCTTCTTTCATAAATCTCAAGGCTCTCCAGTACTTGTAAGTTTGTTTTGCAGCATTGTTTTCAAGATTCATTATATATAGTTCCTTTTTGCAACAAAAATTGGAAGGTAACCTTTGTCAACATTTTTCAGGAATCTGTCAAGCAACAAATTGACAGGCTCAATTCCAGATGCCCTTTCCCAAATACCTTCATTGACGGTTATGTAAGTCCTGCAACTTCTAACAATTAATTTCGCACCCAAGGTATTAACTGAAATCTTGCAAATATCATTTTTCTTTAGAGATTTGTCAAGCAATCTGCTTAGTGGTTCAATTCCCTCTGGACTTCTCAAAAGAGTTCAAGATGGCTCGCTCAATCTAAGGTCAACTTCAATGTTCTTTTAGTTACGCATAGCACTAGATACATTTGATGAGAAAAAATCATTTCATATTTTGATAGGTATGACAACAATCCAAACATTTGCACGAGTGACAATTCATGTCAGCTGGCGGCTAAAAGGAACAACAAGCTGGCTATCTATATTGGTGTCCCTATAATTGTGGTTGTGGTGATGGCATCATTGGCAATACTTCTCTTTTACTTGATAAGACGAATTCAACAAGGTGAGGCATCAGCATACGCGTGCATAACAATTATTTAGTCAATGGACACTATTGATGCTGTCATATGCCAACTATATGTCAGTAAATGGTGGTCGTGGGGACAGTTCATTGCAACTTGAGAATCGTCGGTTCACCTACAAACAACTTGATATGATAACAAGGGGATTCAAGCAGATTCTTGGCCGGGGAGGTTTCGGGATTGTCTATCATGGATTCCTGGAAGATAATACTCAGGTGGCAGTGAAATTGCGGTCTCGTACTTCTAAGAAAGGTGTCAATGTGTTCCTTGCGGAGGTAAATCTCTGTTACTACAATTGGTGAGGGTTTTTTATGTGCATGAATCTTACACGTCATTGCATTAAGACATTCAAGAGTTTAAGTCAAGCACAAAGCTAACCAGTAGCCACCCCTAGCGCACATACAACAAAAGGACAAAGCATTTTTTTACATCGTGGATCTTCTGAGACATGAACCATTTGTGCAGGCTCAGATTTTGACGCAGATTCATCATAAGAATCTTGTCTCTATGATTGGTTATTGTAAGGATGGAAAGGACATGGCACTTGTGTACGAGTACATGTCAGAAGGAACACTACAAGAGCATATTAAAGGTATATGTACATATTGCAAATTGTTAGCTGTGTGGCTTCAAACTGGTACTAACAAAGTGATTTATGGCTACACTATGACCTAGCAATTCAAAGTACAAACTGAGAAAATGTTCAGAATTAATCCATAGAATCACCTGCAAAATAAAATCCATAGAATCATTGCTAGGGCATGGTATTCTAATATTCAAAATACCCATCTATCTGCAGGAAGAGACGACAATGGACAATGTTTATTGGACTGGAGAAAGAGGCTTCAAATTGCACTTCAATCTGCCAAAGGTACTACTAGCTTTGAATGCAACACCCCTTTTTTATTTTATATGTTTGTGTTTCCAAGAACTTAAGAGATGATGGTCCGCGATGTGTAGGGCTTGAGTAACACACCGGATGCAGCCCGTCCCTCATCCACATGGACGTGAAGCCCACAAACATTCTCCTAAATGTGAGTTTGGAGGCCAAGATTGCCGACTTCGGCATGTCCAAGGCCTTCAAGTGCAACAAGGACACCCATGTATCCACAAACACACTTGTTGGTACATATGGATACGTTGATCCAGAGTACCTGGCAACAATGCAGCCAACAACAAAGAGTGACGTGTATAGTTTCGGTGTCGTGCTGTTGGAATTAGTCACCGGGAGACCAGCTATACTTCCAGAGTCTCCGATGCCCATCAGCATCATCCAGTGGGTGAGGTCCCAGCTAGCGGAGGGCAACATTGAGAGCGTGGTGGATGCGCGCATGCATGGTTGTTACGATGTGAACAGTGTGTGGAAGGTGGCAAACATTGCTCTAGAATGCACCGCACAGGTGTCGGTGAAGCGGCCCACCATCAGCGACGTGGTGGTGCAGCTGCAAGAATGCCTCAATCTAGAGGATTGCTATGCGAGCGGTCACATGAACGGGGCCTTGAACACTGGCAGCGGCAGCCATGACCCAAACTTGAATTATGAGTCTCAGGACAGTGTTGCATTAGAGATGGAGCATGTGTCTAGAAGGATGGTAACAAGGACCAACGATCCTGTTGCACGTTGAAGACTTGTTCGTCGAGTTGAAAGAAGTCACAATTGCCCTTTTATGTCATTGAAGAGAACTCTGTGTGCTTTAATATGTCCTTATTTTCCACCACGCAAATGGGAAATGTTCAGATAGTCGAAGACCCAAGTATGATGTATTTTTGCAAGGGTTTGTGCTACCTAATATATGGCCTTTGGACTTTTCGCAAAAATAGTATGCCTCATTTTTATTTCTTTTGAAATACATGGGTATCTATGACTATGTACTCTTCCCTACATTGACTACTGTTTCCATGGTATGGAACTGGAACTATGTACTCTTCTTCCAAAAAATTGATTTGCAATTTGCTAATGTTTGAATTCACTTGAAATTGGGAATTGGCCCCCTGACACCAGCTTCAATTGCTTCCATCCATTTTCCGATCTTATACTGCATGTAGATTTTCGCTGAGAAAATACATAGTTGTTAGTGTGGAAAACAAGAAACAAAAATGAAAGCTGTAAAACCCCTTTATTGGGGCACTGGATTTTTCTTTGTTACACCAAACAACCACACATGTCTTTATTTACGAAAATTTGCAAACAACTAGAACACACAAACATGTCACTGTAAAAAAAATCAGATTTTTATTTTCGTTTAATATTATTTTAGTTTTCAGTATTCATGGAGGAACATAGTAGCTTGAGCTCATGTACTACAAATTTCCGTCCAACATATGGATCACCTCTTTTGAGCTTAACCCTATCGAAAAGCGAGAGGTGGAGGTCAATGTCCACCTAGGAGGAGGCGAGCTACAGTGGTCGAGGTCCACATGGGAGGAAGCGAGCTATGATGGTCGAGGCCCACATGGGAGGAAGTGAACTGGTGGCCATGTTGGACAATAGGAGTCGGGCCCGAGGTCAAGCAATGCGGTATTGAGGTGGGCAAATGGGTTCAACAAGGTCGACCGTCTCGTGTTGATGCTCTGTGGGAGGCAGACAACATAGTCGAGAGCAAGGCCATGGTGGGAAGGGAGAAGGGGGCGAGAGGCAGTGTCAGAGAGTTGTGGGAGGCAATGGCTATGGTCGCCTAGATGGAAGGCGGTGCAAGTAAAGTCCTAGGTACTTATCGCACGGAGAGAGAGTCAGGGTGACAGAGAGAATCATTGTGTTACTTTCCGGCTATGCATGCAGTACACACATGATATTTCTCAACCTACAAGAGCAACAAGATCCACCAAGGGAACAAGGAGGGTCAACTTTTGATTTGGTGGAAGTATAGATCAGGCACTTCTTTTTCACTCCTCAAAAGATCAACAATTTGGATGGAAGGGAGGGGAGTTCTCAAAGAAAATTGAGTTACAATCAATGGAGGAGAGAGAATGGAGTCGTCACCTTTTTTTATGGAAGAAGGGGGCCTTTTATAGGTGGCCCAAGATCCCAGCCGTTATGTGTAGAATCTGTGCGCCCAGCAGATTCCGGGCTAACCAAAAGGGTTGCATACAATTGTGCATTGTTTGCCCCGGGCGCTCAAGGCATGTTTCAGGATACACATAGAATTTTCCTCGACATGCAAACCTTCCGGTTGCCCCGAAAGCTGACCGGAGAGGGAGGACCTCAGAGGGTCTGGGTTGCCCCTAAGGCTTAGTGCAGCCTTTTCATGTGAATAAAAATTGCAACTTGGGGGCTCTTTGTCAAGTAATGGGGATGTTTTGTGGGTCCATTTTAGTTAGTTTACGTGCAGTGGATTTACAGAATACCTCTAAGCTGCACCCTCTCTTAATAGTACGGTTGGTGTAATGACTCAAGTAAATCACAAAGGCCATCGTGAAATCATACTTTTTGAAATGGAGAGGGGCGTCCAAGCATCCATGCTTCTCTTTGGAATGAGGTGACACTGTTTATAGACTAAAGGAGAGGATGGAAAATTCCTTCTGGAAGCATGGCAAATTATAAAAAATGAACAGAGCAAAGTTGCATGCTTGCTGAAGAAATTTGCCATCCACGGACAACACAAATTTCCAGAAAAAACGTTTTCATTTCCATGCCTCCCAGCGAACGTTCTCTGGTTACTATGGTTCTATTTAATTTATCTTAATAGCAATACGTAATTTGACTGAATTTGCAATTTATACATGTCAATTTTGTGAAAATAGGAATGGCCAAAGGAGGAAAAAAAACTAGAGGAAGAAGAAAGGACTACCGATGGATCTTAATCTAATGACTCGGAAAATCTACTAAGGTATGTATAGCGGGTGCCTTAATTAATCATTATTTTGCTGGCTTTTAAGCGGCCTAGTACTCCATCCATTTATTTTTAGTTGGTATATAAAATTTGTGCGAAGTCAAACTTTGCAAAATTTCACCAGCTTTATAGGGATAAAAATCAACATTCATAATACAAAACCAATACCATTAGATGCATATAATGAAATTAATTTTCATACTATTTTTAATATTGTAGTTGTTAGATATTTTTTAAGATAAGTTTGCTCAAACTTTATGTAGTTTGACTATAAATAAATTTTATACGTGCAGTAAAAAGAAACGGAGATAGTATATGAGATGGTTGCACACGAGCTCAGAACAGGAGGATCAAAAGCATTGGGGTATTAGAGCGTCTCTAGCAGATCCGGTTATACCCCGTCCTGCAAAATTCGGTTTATAGGACACCGCAAAATGGTGTTGATTGTTTTTACGATATGACATGTGTTCTAGCAGAATAGATCCCGTAAAAAAATTCATGTCAGATGTGGAGCCCACATGTGAGTAGTTACATCTACAATATGGTTCTTAAAAAGTAGCACAAAACACCCGCAAAATGAAATTTAGATTACAACTAGCAAGATGCCTGTGCATTGCACAGAACACCAAGATGCAATTTTTTACAACACCTATTGCGATTGACCCATGCGGGAGTAATTCAATGCGTAAAAACTAATGATATCTCGAGAAAGAGGAGATATAAGGTGAGGACGAGTGGGGCGTGGTGGTGACTGGTGGTTGGGCTGGGCAGAGGCATAGGGATGGACGGCGCTTACAGCGGCCATCATGTCAGATTGTTTCAGAGGCTTCCTTTTTAAATTGTTCAACAATGAGGCTGTGGGAGATAAGGATGAGTGAGAGAAGGCCTTATCTACAAATGTGAAGAAAGGTGCGGGTATCTTTTTGCAAATTTAATATAATTTGCTTTCTATTCGTCAGATATAGATCGGACGATTTATATTGCAACATGGCAGGTACACCATCATCATCAACTCGGTTTTTTATAAGAGTAGAAATTGAGTCATGGAGCGGCCATGGAACGGAGCCCGTCATCTGCTGCCTGGCGGAGCCGGAGCCCGCCGAAGCATGTCGCCCTCCCACGCCGTCGGCTTGACCTGCAGCTCCGTGGCCTGCAACATCGGCCGCCTCGACTAGCTGTTGTTCGTGGCCTGCCGCGCAGGCCGCCTCGACTAGCTCCTGCCCCATCAGCTGCTCGTGGAAAATACCGTCCTGCTACTGCTGGTGGCTTCTCAAGCTACATCCTACACGTGCCCAGCTACATCCTACACGTGCCCAGCTACCAACCACACGTCAACGGTCAGCCTCAACCCGCCTGCGCTCATCTCGCTCTAGATGTGCGAGGTCGAGCAACCGGCGGACACGCCACCGGGTGCCCCGTCCGCTCCTCCTTGTTGAACGGCTTCACCGACATACATGGCGCCTCACGACAAGGCGCTGCGGATTTCCCCAGCCACGGCGAGGCGCGACAATGGCAGGAGGCGGACGCGGGACGGGGCTGATTCGGTCGACGTGAGCTTGGGATGGATGGCAGGTGGCGGTCACTCCATGGTGTTGTTCGGCGGTCGGAGGAGGCGCGCCGGTCAAGGGGCATCGTGGCGGGGGGCGGCGGAGGCGCGGGGATAGGAGGCGGGGAAAGTTTCATTAGTGCAGAACCGGCCTTTAGTGCCGGTTCGTAACGACCTTTTGTGCCGGTTCGCCAACCGGCACTAAAGAGTGGAGACTGAAGGTCCCCCCTTTTAGTACCGGTTCATCACGAACCGGCGCTAAAGTGCCACCACGTGGCACGAGCCAGGCCCGGGTGCGTGTAGGACATTAGTACCAGTTGCTAACACCAACCGGTACTAAATGTTTGGGTGTTTTTTTAATTTTTCCTTTAATTTTGTGTTTTCAATTTAATTTAGTGATTATTTTACATTATAATGAGTTATTAAATCATTAGGTGAAAGTACCGTGAATTAGTTTCGACTGGATGCATTGGATCTAGCTACTAGCTAAGTGATCAAGTATATGCCATATCCATATATATTATACTTGATCACCTAATAATATATATGGATATGGCATATACTTGATCACTTAGGTAGGATCCATCCAGCTGAAACTAATCTGCGATTTTTTCATTAAATGATATAATAACTCATCATCATCATCATATTAATATAAAAACTCTTGTATCATATCATCAACATGAGTATATATACTCTAGCTAGCTAGCTAAAAATCATCGTAGTTGTCATTATCACTATTTAATCATCATAGTCATTACCGCTATCTAATCACCACCAACACTAGCTTAAAAAAGAAACATTCACTTGTACCAGAAGAAAAAGTATCATCGAGTTCAACATGATTGTCATGATATTACAAGCGTTCATATATAACACCACAAAAGCAAATCACTCTTTGAGATTAAGTTCAGAACGAAGAACACGGACATGAAAAGGACAAGTACTAAGAGCATGAACTAGCTAAATCACTCCTGCTGCTCTCTTTCTCAGGTAAAATAGCATAGAACATGTATAGCTCTCCTGATTCATCATACTGGAGCATGCAGATGAACATGTCTCCTAATCGTGGGCTGCGCTTTTCATTGCTGCCTCCTAGTACTTCTCTGCGATCATTAACAATTTTTTTCCAATCTTTCACTATTAAGCATTCACCGCTTCTAGAAATCCTGAATGCACTCATGTGCAATGTAGGATATCTTGGTCGTAAGCTAACAATTGACATGCGACCTTTAGTCTCGATCCCGTG